GATCTGGGAAGAATGCCCATCTCCGTTGCCAAACCCTAGGTGGCTCAAAATCTTATTACAGGAGCACACACCCGTTCAGGACTGCTAAACAATGTATTTATAGGTCCTAAGGTCTTCCAGGTCTCATTTTGGGCTTCTCTGAAGAAAAATGGCAAAGGGGCTTCGATGTTGGGCCTTGTGGCTCGTCCTAAGGTCCACCAGGGGTGAGACTCTTCCAGGGCAGGTAAAACATGTGTTTACCGCGGGTGAGTCTTCCGAGACTGGTGAACCGGGTCAACTTGTTCTCCATGTATCTTTTGATTGCACCGTTGGATCTTTGTGATGTAAAGTGATATGGAAATCTGATTGTTTCCTCTTGATTATCTCCAAATTTGAGCTGGATCAGACGGTGAGAAAGTCTTCATTTGAGGCTGAACTTCTGACGGTCTCACTCTGAGCTAAAAATGTGGATTTCTTCCATTTTGCCATCATTTTCCCTAAGTTTCCTGAAAAGAGCCTTGAGACTACAAATATATGGAAATCATAATAAAAGTTCCTAAAACTAAGTAAAACCTTTGAAAAATCATTTGAAATCAATGGTAAAAAGTGGTCAAAATCAGGTGTTATCAAGCATTTTCACCCGATACTGATTTTTGGCTGAGAGAAATCACCCATAGCATTTTTAGCCGATAAAACTGATCCAGCCAGTACATGCTTTTGCCGAGAAATTCCTTTTTGCCGTTTTCACCATTTTTAACCCTTTTGTTCACCGTTTCAACTCTTGACCACACCTTTTGAACTCCAAACAACCTCCAAATCACCTGATAAAGACTCCAAACCATGCAAAGACACATTGGGACCTAATGCAACCCCGAAGGTCTAAATCAATGCCTAAGGACCTAAAATACACGAGGTAACACATGATTTGGACTCTAAAATGCGGCCTAAATGATGTAAATTATGGACATATCAACTCCCCCACACTTGTCATTTGCTTGGCCTCAAGCAAAAAGATCAAATGAGAGAAAGAGACTCGGATTCCAAGTTGCCAATTCCAAGCGCAATGCAAGACTCTACTTTGATGCTAAAAATTCAACAAACGATCTCCACAAGTTCTGTTTATCACTCAGCTCTTTGACATTCATTAAGCGTTTACCAAGTTTGGCTAAGGATGAGGCTATGAGATGAAAATGATCTCATTAAAATGCAAATGCACAAGCAAGGTTCAAAGCAATCAAGGATCTCTCTATGAACGATCAAAGCTTCGGCAGTATGCTAAAGGTAAAGAGCATTGGGCGCATACAAGAGCAAGACTCAACTCAGAGCAATGGGCGTATACAAGAGCAAGACTCAACTCACTTCCCTTATCCCAAAACATATCAAGCTCATACTCTCACAATGAACCTCACAGCTCTTTTCTCACTAACTTTTATCTCTTAAAAGGGTTTTCTTTTATTTTAGACTCTCGGCTTGGGATCTTCTTATCACACACAGCTCTTTTTTTCACAACTTTGGCTATCTAACCTCTTATTTTCTCTTTTTAAACACATGAGCCATTTTGGCTTCTTTTCTTTTTCTTTTCTTTTCACTCAGAGGTTAGATACCTTCTTTTAGACACTTAGAGCTCTATTTCTTTTTTAGATCACAAGACCCAAGACCGATTTCTTTTCTTTTCAAACCCTCACTTCTCATCACTCTCGTATGTACACACTCTCTCTTTTCTCTCTCAAAGATCTTTTCTCTCAAAACTCTTACTCAAGGACACCTCTCCCCCACACTTAGTCACAGCCTAGACCTAGTAGTTGCTTGATGTTGGAACTAGACACTCATGAGACTTGCCCTTGTCTCTCTAAACCTAACACTTTCTGTTAAGCTTTGATCCAAGGTGGCCTCACAATTCACACACGGAATGCTTTAGGCTTAAAAGAAGGATGGGTTCAGGGTGTGGAGAACTGATCCAAATGCGTATTCAGCTACTTGAGCTAAGGAAAAGAGTGGTAAAAGTGGGTTCTACCTCAAGTATGTATAGTGTATCCACAATGCTCACTCAAACAATGCATCAAAAGATAAATTCAAGTCAGGTTCAATGGTTCTCACTTTTTAGAGCTGAGATCAAATTCAAACTTGCTTCACAGATTCAGATTGTTTCAAGTCTCGCATGCAACAAAGAACCAACAAGCATGGAAATCTAAGTTCTCAAAGCGATGATCTCTCAAGGAAAAACCTATCATTACTACCATGCGTTGAAGCAAACCTATATGATGCAGCTAGACTCGATCCTAAAAATGTGAAATGCAACTAAAATGAACATTTTTTTGTAAAATTTTACCGATTTTTTGGTTTTTTGGTTTTTATATGCACTTAGAGTAAACAACATGAGACTCAAAATGCAAAAGAGAAAATAAGAACAGAGAAAACATGATCAGTAGACACAAAGCTCCTCCCCCACACTTAAATAACACAGTCCCTTGTGTTATAAAAGCGTAAGAGAGAAGCAAAAGCTAAACAAGGAAGATGCAAAATGATATGAACAAAATGCATATGTACAAAGGTTTGGAGAAGTTACCTTAATCATTGAGGTCGAATCCCACGTAATACGAGGGATTGGAGGTGGAGCAAGGTGGTGTTGGCTCCCTCAGTGGACTGCTTTCAGGTGAGTCAAGGAGAAATGCGGTGGCCGGGTTGATCCAATCCTCTTTTCCCGGTGGGAACTCATGATCACGTGCTGTGGAGCTCTCGCCAACCTCTTCTCTCATGGTATCCCACAGAGCAGCAATCTCTTCTTTGGGGTACTCAAACTTCTCCATAGAGCTCTCCTTCCTCACAAAGCCGAAGATCTCATCAATCTCCTTGAAGCTCACTTTATAACTGACCCCATCAATCTCTAACTCAATGTGCCCGAAGCCTCTCCCATGAAATCTCTTGGGGTCTCTCTTGGGGTATATGAAAACGTCCAAGGAAGCCAAGAATTGCTGAGTGATCCCCTCATAGGCAACGTCTTTTATCTCAAAGAATGATGCTAAGCCCATATTTTGAAAGATGAGCTTAACATCATCGAGAATCTCCAACTTGCCCAATAGCTCAATATCAGGAAATCGACCTTGAGCCACTTGTGCCTTATTAAACTGGTGCAAGTACTCTCCAGTAGTGGGCAAGTGATCTTCTTCAAACTCAGCTTTTGGCTCCTTTTTTGCCTCTTGAGAACACTCGGGAATGGGTTCAGGGGCAGCTTCTCCCTCAACCATGGTCTCAGCTCTCTCCTCCTCAGGTGCCAAATCTATCTGCTTTCCTTTCTTCTTCGGCTCAGGCACCACTACAAGTGCAAGCTCGTCGTTCCTTGCTCGCTTTGCAGACGGCTCATCATCGGTTATCTTGGTGCTTTTTGAGATCATCTTGCTTGTTCCTCCAGGTTTTGCTAAGGCCACAGCCTTGCCTTTGTTAAGTTTCTTCTGGACTTCTTTCTTCTGAGCTAGGCTCGCCGTTCTCTCAGTCATCTGCAAGAGACTCCTCAAAAATAGAATAAGCACCAAGTATACTTCGCTAAAGACAAGCTCAAGAGAAATAAAAAGAACAGAGCTTTTTTAGAAACCAATGGCTCAATGACTCCTCAGGCTCAGAGTGATCAAGAGCGAGTCATAACAATTGCTAGACACAGAGGGAGGCAAGAAACTCAGCCAAGAAACTATTTCGCCATTAAAACCGATTTAAAGCACAATTTCTCAAAAAAATTTAAAACTCAAGAACAGGCGATTTTCAATGCAAGAACCGGTTTTTCATGTGTTGTCTATCCTGATGGAATTTCTAAAATTTTTCACAAAGCATCTAGCAACTTAAAAGAATCGATTCCATAGTTAACAAGCACAGTGTCTCGCAAACGATAATGGAAAAAGATGAGTTCTTTTAGCTCAAAATACCTTTAGGAACACAAGATTCAAGCTCAGTGAGATGCGTATGCAGGATAGACAACACTTTAATGAGTTCAGAGCACTTGAAATCGCGTGAAATGAATGAGAAATGAGAGAGTTATGCTCGTGTAAATGCAGAGAAAGGGTGAAGAAGGCAAACTCTGCTTTTGGCTCAGTATGGAGGAAGTTATGGGCTGGAGTACATGCTTTTCTCATTTTTCTGGATTTGACACAAGTTGCCTCGCTGTGTTCAACCCCGAGGTCACTAGACGGAGGGCTTAGAGCTCATGCTAACACAGAACTTTTAACTTGACCCTCAAGCCTTTTCCATTGACCGTTAAACCTTCTCTCTGGACTGAAGTGTCCCAAGTGTTCTGTTTTTGCTTATACTCGTTACCAGGCACCTCGGCATGCTCCACCACGAAGGAATCACACCAAGGGTGCTTGTTTCTGGGTAGAACACTTGGTGCTTGGGGGAATAAACGGCTTTGCCTTGGTTAGTTCATGTCGCGGTCTCAAAGTGAGGTTTTCAACCTTTTCTTTCGGACATTGAGCGTTGGTGTGTTTATACCGAGGTGTCTAGACCGGCGGCCTTCCCCCCACACTTAGTCTTTTGCACTTAACACCATGAGATTTTGGTGTAACTAGGCCGTGGACTTTGATCAAGGTTTGGCCTAGTTTCTTTTGGTAATCGACATCGGTAAGCTTATACCGAGGGATTACACCGAGGTTCTCTCTAGCACTTAGTCTATGTGCTCCTTTCTTCTTCTTCTCACACGGCCCGGTGTTATTAAGGCGAGGATTTTGGCCAAGGGTTTGAGTGTTTCACACGGTAAAACGCACCTCGGCTTGAAAATGCCGAGGGTTTACGCCGAGGCCATAAGAACTCCTGCCTTAAAACACAAGGTCATGGCTTTTAAACGGCTTCTTGCACCTGTTCCTTCAACTTACACACCTAGAACACTGCTTAGACCTGAAATCACTTAACAAAACCTTCAAAACGTTCCACATAAACATAAAAAGAAAGATAAAAAAGAAATATATACAAGGATAAGCTTGGGTGTCTCCCAAGAGCACTTTGTTTAACTGTCACTAAGTTTGACATTTTATACCTTTTTAGGTGGTTTGGGGTTCAAGAAGAGGAGCTGAGGTAGCTTCCTCTTTCATTTCGGACACCAGGTAGTGTTTCACTCTTTGACCATTCACAACAAACCCTTGGCCATCTTTTCCCTGTAAAACAACGGCTCCATATGTTCTCTCTTCTAGAACTTTAAATGATCCGAACCATCTAGACTTGAGTTTTCCAGGGAACAATTTCAGTCTAGAGTTGAATAAAAGCACTTGGTGCCCTACTTTGAAATCTCTCTTGTGTCTCTTCTGATCATGAAGCGCTTTAGTATTCTCTTTATAGATTTTAGAGCTCTCAAAAGCATCTAACCGAATCTCCTCAAGTTCATGAAGCTGTAGAACCCTTTTTTCTTGAGTGGTCTGGATGTCAAAGTTCAATAGCTTGACTGCCCACAAGGCGTTGTATTCCAACTCAACCGGCCAGTGACAGCTCTTCCCATTCAACAGGTTGAAAGGAGAGGTACCAATAGGGTTTTTGTAAGCCGTTCTGTAAGCCCAAAGAGCATCACCAAGTTTCTTGCTCCAGTCCTTCCTTGAATTGCTCACAGTCCTCTCTAGGATCGCTTTTATCTGCCTGTTTGAAACCTCAACTTGCCCGCTTGTCTGAGGGTGGTAAGGGCTCGACACTTTGTGCTTGACACCATGCTTCTTTAACAAGCCCTCAAGAGTCTTGTTAATAAAGTGGCTACCCCCATCGCTTATAACTACTCGTGGAACTCCAAACCGTGGGAAAATGATGCTTTTGAACAACTTACACACCACTTTTAAGTCGTTTGTGGGGCTTGCGATCGCCTCAACCCATTTAGAGACATAGTCTATGGCAACCAAAATGTACTGGTTACCGTGTGACGAGATAAACGGCCCCATGAAGTCTATTCCCCAACAGTCGAAGACCTCCACTTGAAAGATCGGATTCTGAGGCATCTCACTTCTTTTGGAGATATTACCATGCCTTTGACACGATTCACAACTTGAGACAACACTTTGGGCATCTTTAAACATCGTTGGCCACCAAAACCACATTGCAACACCTTAGCCACCGTTTTAAAAGCTCCCATGTGTCCACCATAAACAGAGCCGTGGCACTCTTGTAATACAGGCTGGACCTCTATAAAGATGGTCTTTGTTGAGCACATGTAGATATGGCTCATCCCAATGATATCTCCTCACATCTTTAAAGAACTTTTTCCTTTGTTAGAATCCATCTCAGGGGGCTCTAAACCGCATAAAAGGTAGTTAACAAGATCAGCAAACCATGGGAGACTTCTCTCTTTGATTATATTCGCTTCTTCACCTCCAAGTAAGACCTGATCACCAATAGATGCTCCCCGGGTAAAGAATCATCTAGAGGCACATTTGAGTCTATCCTTAACCGTGAGACATGGTCAGCAGCTCCATTCTCAATGCCTTTCTTGTCTTGTACCTCCATATGAAATTCTTGTAACAGAAGAACCCACCTTAGAAACCTCGGCTTAGCATCCTTTTAAGTCATTAGATATCTCAAAGCCGCATGGTCTGTGTACACAATAACATTTGAACCCACAAGATAACTCCTGAACTTATCAAATGCAAACACAATGGCCAGCATCTCCTTTTCAGTTGTTGCATATCTCTCTTGAGCCGAGTCCAAGGTTCGGCTTGCGTATTAGATCAAGTGCAGCTTCTTGTCTTTCTTTTGGCTTAAGACTGCTCCCACTGCGTAATCTGATGCATCTGTCATCACCTCAAAGGGAAGGGTCCAACCGGGTGCCTGAACTATTGGTGCACTAACAAAGGCCTCTTTGATCTTTAGAAATGCCTCCATGCACTCCTCATCAAATAGAAACTAAACTTCCTTGCAAAGCAGCCTTTTTAGTGGCCTAGCTATCTTAGAAAAGTCTTTGATAAACCTTATATAGAAGCCGGCATGTCCCAAAAAGCTCCTTATCCCTTTAACCGAGCTCTGATATATTCATAAATTACATCTTTTAGTGTACATATTTTAGTCCAAATCATGTCTTATCTCATGCATTTTAGGTCTTTAGGCATTGATTTAGGACTTAGGAGATTACATTAGGTCCAAGAGAGTTTTGCATGGTTTGGAGTGTTAAACAGGTGCTTTTGGAGCCTATTTGGAGTGGAGGATGTGATTCAGATGAAGAAATGGAGTTGAAATGATCAAAAATGGTGAAAAGGAGCAATTTTGGGTTTCTCGGCAAAATGCTGTACTGATGGCCGAAGATTCTTGGCCAAAATCCTTCCCGCGGGTAGACCTCTTGGCCAAAAACACGTACCAGCGGTCAAGTCTCTCGGCCAAAAATCCCGGGTGCAGATACATTTCTGAAATCATGTCACCGGAATATCTTGACGGCCGATTCAGCTTACAGGATCTTCAGAAAAGTTGGAAATAATTGAGTCAAGAACCCAGGACAGGTTGAATCAGGGCATTTAGAGCACTGAGATGAAAGATACGATCACCGGAAGACAGACCTCTCTCGCATCGATTCCGGAGCAATCCGATACTCCTGAATGATCGCCTGTCCGGGGAACCTTCCGTTCCGATTCAGCTGTCGGGTTCTTCATCAACTTTGGAGAAGATTGGATCATGTTTCCAGAACAGGTGGAATCATAGGATTTGGAGGCGTGAGTAGATAGTTAAGCTCACCGGAAGGCACGCCTGTCTCGCTACCGTTTTGGACCGACCCGATGAGCTCCGAAGATTGCGAAAGACGATGCACTTCCAGACCGATTCATTCTACAGAGCCTTCATCAAGATTTGAGATAACTGAGTCCTATTTCCAGAACATTTGATATCGTTCCATTTGGAGTTGTGAGGCGTGAGTTCCGGAAGGATAGAGACACACATATCCTTCAAGCACCAAGAGCGTGGAAATTGTGCTACGTGTAAGGATGGCACGGTGGAATGCCACAGTCCACATCTGACCGTAGCACTTGATTTCGGTTCTTCGGGGTTTGACACGGTCTCCACACCACGGCTTTAGACTTGGCCGTGGCAACCTCCGAAGCATTCTAACAGATGAATGGTCCAAGTCACGATGAACTGCCACGGTCCACATCTGACCGTGGCACTTGATGCAATCCTTCGGCATTTGACACGGTCTCCACACCACGGTCTACACTTGACCGTGGCAAGACAACACTTGGGATCCTTCAGAGCTTCGGGACTTGACACGGCCATGCATCACGACCAGAGGGAACCCGTGGCACCAAGATTCATCCAAGAACAGAAGCTTCGGCACTTGACACGGTCACTTGCCACGGCTTGACCAAGAACTGCTAGACCATGGCAAACCTCATCTTTACCCACCAAAACCGGGTCAGTACCCGATTTGTTCCGGGCTGACCGGGTCCATAACACTTAGTATAAATACTTTTTTGGGAAAAAACCCTAAAAACATCTGATCTTCTACTTAGTTTTCTCTCTAGTTTTCTTTCCTTTTTAGTGTAAAAACGTTTTTGATTAAGAGATATCTGAAGGATTTGATCATTCCAAAGCTGTTTCTTATCATCTCATCATCTCATTTCTGCTTCTAATCATGATTAACATCATCTCTTGCAAAGGATTAGATGTGTTCTTCATGATTAGTGAGTAGTCATCTTTTAAGCTTCTAGGTGTGTAGATTAGGGTTCTTAGATGTTTGATTTATGATGTTTAGGGACTAGATTCTCATTTCATTTCCTTAGTTAGCTGTTCCTAATGCTAGATCTTTGCACATCACTCTGGTCTAGAGCTTAGGCAAATCTCCACCCACAAGGTGTTTGATGAAATGCCTGAATGAAAGCTATCTAAGGGTTTATGCATTAATGCCATGGAAATGTTTGTTAATTGCATAAATGACATATTAGAACTGTTTCTTAATGTTCATTAGTTCATATTTCACAAATGGGAATTCGGTTTGAAAGTGGATTAGTGTAGAGATTAATGCCTTCATTAGAGGATTAGTCTAGATTAGAGTTCTAAGTTGAAATGTTTGAGATCATGTGATTGCTTGCTATGTCTTTCTGAGTAAGATTCAGTCTTCTTGGTTGAGAGATTGTTTGGTCACTTATTAGGCTTGATGCATTATGCTTGTTGATTGCTTGATTATATCTAATTGTTGTTAGACTTGATTAAGTGATTAGCAAAGGGATTATTGTCATGGGAATGAATTAATCTGCTTTTGAAGTCTAGACTAAAGAGTAACTTGCATTGCATTATTGTTCTTAGCATCATGAATTGATATCTACAGCACCCTAATCAATGATCACATCTAGAGGTTTAGCTTTTATCATTTTTATTATCACAATCATCTTGTTGAGTTTGCTTTAATTACTTCCTTCTCATTGCTTGTTTGTTTCTTGTTTATGATTTCATTTGTTACTAGTTATCAAAAACCTGTCTTTGATCACTTGACTTAAGAGCTTATCACATAAACTAGTGCCTAACTACCACACATATGGATTGACACCCCTTATACTACTTTGACAAGGGGATTGATAACCCATCTAAGACTTGAAAAATTTTTAGTTATCAATTGACGCCGTTGCCATATTGTGTGGGGATTGTTAGCATTAGTTTCTGATATAGTTTTTGAGATCAAGTTTCTTTTGTTTTACTGATCACCTTTCAAGTTCTGTCTTTGTTTTCAGGTTTATGATCACAAGAAGGCAAGCAAAAAGACAAAGAGAAAGAGCTGTTCACTTGGAAAGGTTAGGAATGAATCAGCAAGTTGGGAATGAGCATCAGGCTCAAGAAGCTGATCACTGTCAAAGAGCTGGTAATGGAATTGGAATTCAAGTTCAACAGGCTCAGGTCCATCAGGGACACACTCAGGATAACCAGAACCAAGACCGACCTCAGGTTAATCCACCACAGCCCCACCCAAACCCACCCAGACGTCATCAGCCTCCACCAGTCTTTGTTGGTGAGAATGACCGAGCTTATGCACACCAGTATGGAGCAGGAATCAGGCCACCTCCTGTCCAAAACAACAACTTTGAGGTGAAGGCCTCTTTGATCAAAATCAGAATCAGAAGTTCCATGGCTTACCTATGGAGGATCCCTTGGAGCATCTGGATCAGTTTGACAGAGTTTGTGATCTCACTAAGATCAATAGGGTATCTGAAGACAGCTTCAAACTGAGATTGTTCCCGTTCAGCCTTGGAGATAAAGCACATCATTGGGAAAAGAACCTCCCAAGAGGATCCATCCACACATGGGAGCAATGCAAGATTGCCTTTCTATCCAAGTTCTTTTCAAGCTCAAGGACTGCAAAGCTAAGGAACCAGATTTCCAGCTTCACTCAACATTCTAATGAGACCTTTGGAGAAGCTTTGGACAGGTTTAGAAGCTACACAAATAAGTGTCTACATCATGGCTTTTCAGAAGCCTCTCTCCTTAGCACTTTGTATAGAGGAGCTGTTCCTAAGATCAGGATTCAGTTGGACACAGCATCAAATGGAAATTTCTTGGCAAAAGAAATCAATGCAGCTATGGAACTTGTTGAGAACTTAACCATGAACCAAGAAACCTATGGAGAAGACTTTGATAGAGCTAACAGATGTGAGGACTCTAGTACCCAACAAAGGTTGGAAGAGAAGATTAAAGAGCTGCATATCAAGCTTGACAAAGCCCTGGTTGCTACTCAAAAGCCTATACACCATGTAGGTGAGTCTCAAGAGAGTAGTTGCTTTGAGAACATCAATGAAGTGGGCCTTACACAAGAGGAGCTGAACTACATAGGTAATCAGAACAAGTTTCAGGGTTACAACAACTTCAACAAGAACCAGAACTTGTCTTATAGAAGGACCAATGTAGCCAATCCCCAAGATCAAGTATACCCTCCCCAACAAGGTCAACAAAGCTTTGCTCCAAAGAATCAGTTCCAAGGTCAACAAGCTTTTCAGCAGCCAACAGCTCAGCCACAAGGGAACAACTTGAATAACCAACTCAGCTTCCAGCAACAAAAGCCACCACCTCCTGGTTTTGCCCCACCACCTGTTCAACAAAGTCCTTATTTCAATGTTGTTCTCCAACAGCTCTTACTAGGACAACCAAAGATGGTATCTGACCTGGAGACACTAGGCGCTGAAATAAAGGCTATTAAAAAGAACAAGGGCATCTGCACTTTTGAACCACAAGTATCTCTTCCTGGTAAAGCTCTTTAAAACTCAAAAGATTACTGCAAAGCCATCTACTGCAATGATGACCATTCAGCTGCTGTGCAAGAAATAGGAGACCTTCTCTATGGTCAAGTCTCTAGTGAACCTGCACAAACTCATGTGGATGAGAATGCCATTATAGAGGATTTCATGGGCTTCATACATGAACTCAATGAGGACATTGAGAATGAAAGTGTGGGGGCAGCCGGTTCAGTTTTTTTCTGTTCAGCAAGGGAATGATTCAGTGTCTATTGAAACAAAGGAGCTACCAACTGGTCAACAAAGCCA